GAGAAAAAGGAAATATTCGCCTCTGCTGTTTGGCAATGCGCTGGGTAGACAGGGTAGACAAGAGTTGTTAAGGGATTTCCTTTATTTATTTGTTTGAAAGGAAGAGCGATGGAGCAATGTTTCACCTGTAGTTTCACTTTCCAAAGGACTGCAACAGCTGGTTCTGAGCTAAACTCTACCTGGGTCTCTCTTAGGTTGGTGAAACCCCAAGTACTTAACAGGAGCCACCATCTGCCACCTGGGTTTAAAATAGAGTAGTCAAGACTTGATCCCAGGCACTTAAATGTGGGATGCAGGTGCTTAACTCACTGTACCACAGTACCCGTGCCAGTTGTTTTGCTTTGTCTGTTTGGTGACTGATTCTACATTAAGTAACTAAATTATTACCTCTTGTAGTGCCCGAGAAAGATTATACTATTGCTTAATGCCATGGCATAGTAGATTAAGCCCCTGCCAGCAGTGTGGCACCTTATATGGGCCTAGGTTCCAGTCCCAGTGTTCTACTTGTGATTCAGTTCTCTGCTGATGCACCTGGGAAAGTAGCTAAAGATGACCCGAGTGCTTGTGACCCTATAACCATGTGGGAGACCTTGAGTTTGTATTGCTTGTTGTATTTATTAAGAAAAAAGTGTGTTATAAGCCAGCGTGATTGCTGAACTCGCTCATTTTCTACCTCTATGTGTTGGCATCCCATATGGGTTCCAGTTTCTGGCCTTTGCTACTTTCCCCAATCCAGCTCTCTGCTTATGGCTTGGGAAAGTAAAAGAGAATAGCCCCAGCTCTCTGGACCCTGCACCCAAATGGGAGCCGGGAGAACCTGGCTCCTGGCTTTGGATCAGCTCAGCACTGCACCAGCCATTGCGGCCACTTGGGGAGTGAACCAGTAGAAATAAGAGCTTTCTGTCTGGCCTTGTTTCTGTAAATCAAAATCTGCCTTTTCAATGAAAATGATTTTTTTTTAAGTGTCGTGCTCTAGTAGTAATGTAACATTTGTTCTGCCATGAAATTATAGTAGCACCTTCGTAACTGACCCCAAATTACAACTACACACTTACTATATTTTGAATATAAATTATTTTGTGGACATTGGAGTTTGCATGATAGATAATCAGAGTTTAAGCAACATTGTTAAATGAAAACTCTATTTTGAAAATAACTTCCTGTTCTGAATCATCACGTAACAAATTATTTTTAGAAGAAGATTGATGGTAGTAATCCCTTAGTGTTGCCTTTCTGTAATTACTATGTTGACTGATCTCCCAAGCTCAGTCTCTGTTGTATGAGGAATACTAGGACAGAAGGCTTTTTACTTTGTTGCTTTGTAAACCTATGGAAAATGGGTTTTCATTAACATTAAGGAACATTCATTTCTTACAAATTAAAATGTTTTCAGGGCCCAGCACAGTAAGTAGCCTGGTGACTAACGTCCTAGCCTTAGACACGCCAGCATCCCACACGGGCACTGGTTTGTGTCCTGGCTGCTCTGTTTCATTTCCAGCCCTGCTTGTGGCCTGTGAGAGCAGGGGATTACTGCCCAAGGCCTTGGGACCCTGCACCCACATGGGAGACCCCAAAGAAACTCCTGGCTCTAGCTTCAGATCAGCTTAGCTCTGGATTGCAGCCATTTGGGGCGTGAATCAGCGGATGGAAGATCTTTCTGTTTCTCCTCCTCTCTCTAAATCTAACTTCGCAGTATGTATGTATAAACAAATATATAAATGCATCTTTTAAAAAAAATGTTTCTGATCATTTTCTTTCTACTTTCTGAAAGATTATAAGTGTTCTGCTTTTCCACTCCAAATGGGTACAATGGCTGTGGCTAGGCCAGGTGAATGAATGCCAGAAGCACAGAGCTCCATTCAGTTCTCAAGAGTGACAAGAACCCAAGTACCTGCGCCATCTTCTGCTTTTCCAGGCACGTGAGCAGGGAATCGGATCAGAAATGGAGGAGTGCTGAAACTAGTGCATCCAGTGTTGGTTACAGGAACCACCTTCTCTTTCAACAGCTTAATCATAGTTAAGGTTAACTATAGTACCAGTCCTGATAAATAGAATTTCATTAAAACCCCTTAGTACATTTCTGTACTATTCTGTATTTTTAATAGTACCTATTCTTGGTTTTTTCATTTTATGTTTTCCATTCAGCTTTACCCTCTGAAATTGTCATATTAATAACATAAAGGGTAAATTAATGTTGAGAATTTTTTGAATAAATTCATTTATTTACCTGCTTTATCAAAATTATATTATAATTAATTTTGCTGAGTGCAGTGAAACCTGTTTTCGTCATGAACAGCTAATGTTCTTCAGGAATAGAATCTCATGATGCCTAGGTTGACATTTTCCAGCTAGCAGAGTATTTCCAAATTATTCTTCAAAAGGCACTATTGTCAGTTTTTATGGTTGTGAGTGGAGTATGAATTGCAGACTTTTTTTGAGTTTTTGCAATTTAGGTTACAAGTGACATAGTTATCTAACAATACTTTAACCAGATTCTAATAAGCCAGATTAAATATATTTGTAATTAATTAGAATTTTATGTGAATTTCTTGTGTCAAGATTATCTTTTGCAGGTGAGAGAGAGTGCGAGTATTTGGTGCAGAGATTAAAGTAACAGAACTCCAACATCCCTTATCAGTGCCTGGCTTCAGCCCTGGCCTCTGGCTTATGAATCAAGCTTCCTGCTAATCTGTACTCTGGCAGGCAACAAGCGATGGATCACTACCTCCCCTGAAGGGGTCCTGCATTGAGCTCTTGGTATTGACCAGGCTGGATAACAGCTTTTGTAGGTACTTCTGGAGTTGTCCAGCAAGTGGAAAGTCTCTCCCACTGTCATTCTGCCTTTCAAATGAAATAAAATTAAAGCTTTTGAACATTTTCATTTGAACTCATAAATTATAGCAGAATTTTTGGAATTCTGCTAATATATTTTGGCATTTAATTTTCAATTATGTGTGTTACAGATACCTTCTGTTAACCAGTGACTGTTCATTAGATCTTTAATTTTTTCTAAGATTTGGCTTTTTTAAAATAAAGATTTATTTATTTTTATTGGAAAGTGAGATATACAGAAAGGAGAGAGGAAGATCTTAGCAACTACAACAGCCAGAGTTGAGCCTATCCAAAGCCAGGAGCCGGGAGCTACCTCCATGTCTCCCACGTAGGTGCAGGGTCCCAAGGTTTGTGGCCGTCATCTACTGCTTTCCCAGGCCACAAGCAGGAAGCTGGATGGGAAGTGGGGCTGCCAGGATTAGAACCGTCGCCCATATGAGATCCCGGCATATACAAGGCAAGGACTTTAACTACTTGGCTACCGCAAAGGGCCCGTAATTTATTTGTTTTTATTGGAAAGGCAGAATTACAGAGAATCAGAGATACAGAGCAGGAAATATCTTCCATCTGCTGATTCACTCCCCAGATGGCTGCAGGGGTTGGAGCTGAGCCAATCTAAAGCCAAAACCAGGAGCTGCTTCTGGCTTTTCCACTGGGTGCAGGGTTACAAGGCTTTGGGCCATTCTCCACTACTTTCCCAGGCCATAAGGAACTGGATACTGAGAAGTAGAGCAGCCAGGACAGGAACTGGTGCCGTATGACATGCCAGTGCTTGCAGGTAGAGGATTATTCAGTTGAGTCATAATGCTCTTAGTCCTTTCATTTTATGATAGGCAATTTGATGATAATTTTGTGACTTATTTAACAAAATATACCCTATTTGGAGTCCCAGAAATATTGTTCTTTTTGTTCCAGTTTAACAATTTGAAAACCAAAAATTATGCAATAATATTGTGGGGAAAGGAACTAATTTAATTTTTTTGTGTGTAATGATAGGACCATTTGGTACAGTCTTTCCTTGTTGAATTGAAGGCCATGTCTTTCAGCTATCCAGTTCTCAGTTTTGAGGCTCTGGATTATGTTGCATTTGTTTTTTGTTTTTTCTCCATCTTATACCTGAATTAGCATGGCTTTCGCAAAACTCTTGGTATGTGATGATATAAGTTCATGTCATGGTTTTCTTTACCCTTCCTTTGGTGTCATCACCCCCAGCAGCACCATGTTTAATGGATTTATTTCTTAGCTTATATTGAAAACCTAGAAGTTGGGGAAAAAAGAGAAATTTGATTGGAATTTGAATTTATACTAGTGTGAAATTGCTGTCCTAAAGGATGTGTCCTACTATGTCTTTCAGGCTTTATTTTTTTCCTATAAAGATTTTTATGTGTAATATTAGTTTTTATTGATATTACAAATAAATGAGCATTTTCTATTTTCTGGGTTTTTTTTTCTTCAGTTTTTTGTTTATTCATTTTTATTGAACTCCTGAATTCTTGGTTGGTTTTAATGGCTCTTGTTGCCTCTTAAATTTTCTGTAGGGATTATTTTATGTGCCTTGCTTTTTTGTTGTTTTTGTTTAAGCTTTATTTATTTTTATTGGAAAGTCAGATATTCAAAAAGAAGGACAGAGAGGAAGATCCTCCGTCCGATGATTCACTCCCTAAGCGGCCACAATGGCCGAAGCTGAGCATATCAGAAGTCAGGACCAGGAGCCTCTTCCAGGTCTCCCATGTGGGTGCAGGGTCCAAGGCCTTGACTGCTTTCCCAAGCCACAAACAGGGAGCTGGATGGGAAATGGGCCGTGGGATTAGAACCAGCACCCATATGGCATCCTGGCACATGCAATGTGAGGACTGTAGCCACTAGGCTACCATGCCAGGCCTTGCCTATTTTATATAGAAAACACTTGTGTCTGCTGAGGACTTGCTGGCTTCAGAAAAATGTTACACAAAATAGGGATATCAAAAGGCAGTTCTGCTTAGTTATTTTGGGGAGTATCTATTCATTTTTATCTGTAATGCGTTGTTAGTATTTGTTTCAGATTTTTCTTGATGCTATAGTTGGTCTGTATAAGGGCCTTTAGAAGATAAATCCCAGAAACCCCACCCCTTGGCTCATTGGATATTGTGCTGCTAGTCTTGTGTTTCATTCAGTCTATTTCCTTTCAGGAGACGCAGGTCAGAATGGAGATGGGCAGCAGATCGTGCAGCAATCGTCAGCCGCTGGAACTGGCTTCAGGCTCATGTTTCCGACTTGGAATATCGAATTCGGCAGCAAACAGATATTTACAAACAGATACGTGCTAATAAGGTAAGCAATAAATATCTGGTGTTTTTCAGCCCGGCTATGAACTACCATTATCTGTTTCCTCTGATGCTTTGCTACCCTTTCAAAAACACTTGACGTCGTCAAGATAAGTGATTTAATGATATAATACAGTGTTCTAATCTGTTTAAGAGCCTAATGTTGCTTAGTATAGTACAGGAAATGTCACAATATGTTTAATGGAACACCTGTTTTTGAGAGAACCAGTACGCTTCTAGGTAACAGGAAACACGAGAGATGCTAGTGTAAACAAGCCATTGACTATAACTGTCACAATTGTAAAATTTATGAAAAAAAAATGACTACTGAGGATTTTCAGTCTCTGCTTGTTTTGTTTAGATGCATTCCTGTTGTACTTCTGAGCTTGCTGTGCTTTCTTGGCAAGAAAGAGGTTTTTTTTCTAAAAGGTTATTCAGTCAAATAAGATGTTGATGATTTTTACTGTGTTTTTACTTCTCTACAGAGAAGTGATTGTTCAAGCTTTTGCTTTTGATAGTGACCTATATGAATTTTCTTCCTGAAAAATTAACTTTTGAAAGGTCGTGCTCAGTTTGGGTTTGACTCAAAAGATAAATTTATGTGGAAAATCAGTCCATTCCACAAGTACTGAATTGAGTGTATTCTGTGGACTTGTACTTTTCTTCACAGTGCTGTTACACTTGTAAATAAAAATTCATAATCTTCATGGAATTAAATTATTTTTAAATTTTAAAATTCTTTTTAAAGTATGTTTTTATTAACTTAAAATTTCAAGTTCCGTAACTGACAGTAACTCTAGGTAAAGTCTAATAGAGAAGTGTCAGGTGCCTTTTTTCTCATTACTTCTGTGCTTTGCTGTGAACACTATACATTAATGAGTCGTCCAAAAGTTGAAGGATGACCAGCTGAACTCGGTCAACAAAATAATCAGGGCTTAGGGTTAAACTTCTGTGGCTATATCAATTAAACCTTTTATTTCTTTTTTTTAAATTATTTTTTATTCATTGCATTGCATTATGTGACACTGTCTCTTAGGCTCCCCAACCCCTCCCCAAACCCTCCCCCCATGGTGGATTTCTCTACCTTGTTGCAGTATTACAGTTCAAGTTAAGATTCTTTTCATTGCAAGCATAGAGTCCAGCATCTTATTGTAAACCTTTTATTTCTAAAATTTCACTGGAGAATTCTTTCAGCTTCTTTTCAGCTTGTATTTGAGTTGAATACATTGTAATTGTGGACATGGTCGAGAGGTTTCTGTTTTGAATAAATATATACTCACATACGTATTTCTTGAAACATTAGGGTGTGGGCAATTGATGGTGATTAACTCACTGCCCTGTATCAGAGTGCCTGCTTTGTGTTGCTGCTCTTCTGGTTCCTGGTACACCTCTTTGCAATGGAAGCAGCAGGTGTTTATAATCTAGAGAAACTGTGTGTCCAAGAATTAGTGTTAGTGACAACAGAGTTTAGAACAAGAGGCATCGGTTTGGTACTCATCTGCTTTATATCCATTCTTAAATACATGTGCATGTATTGGTTTACAAATGTGTTCTGCTGATACTCCCATTATTTAATGCCATATTTGATAGAGTCTAAGGTACTGATGATTAGCAAAGTGTTACTACATTATGTATCACAAAGGGTTGATTTCTGTTCAATTAGGGCCTAAGAGCAGTCATGAGGTGCATCTAGATTTAAAAGATGCTTACATATAACATAATATTTAAAAATAACCATGTTATCTATATAGCCTATAAATTTCTTTGTTTTCTGAAAACATTTTTATTGGTTTTATCCTGTTATCTTTTCTTGTTGACTAAATTATGCTTTTTATTAAAATTATATAGCATACCATGATAAACCTCTTTACCAGATTCAAAAGTATGATTAGGTTTGTTCTTTATGCATAATTCAGAGAAATATTTTGACAGTATGTGTGCTAGTACACAGGCTCACCAGCTGTGTATGCAAAGATAATGCAGATTTAACTGTTGTCTGCTTCTTTAGCTCGGTGGTTGTGACAGAGAAGTTTTACAGCCTTCCAGAAGTGTTACATATTTTATTCAGGGTATTATGTATGTTATTAAGAGAAAAAGATTCTTGGTAGTCCTTGGTAAAACATCTTTTCTGTCTGTAATCTGATTATATGATATCTGTTCAAAGGTTCTGACAGGAAGAATACAATTAGAACGATAATTCAGAAAATAAAACTAATGCATCAAGAAAGCTTAAAATTTTATCAAGTATTTGTCTTTTTTCAACAAATCCATTAGTTTCGCAAGCTTCCAGGACAAAACACTATCAGATGCAAGACTTAAACAACAGAATTGTACCATAAAACTCAAAATTTAAGATAAAAATTACAGAAAAAGAAGAAACACATTCTTACAGTTCTAGCAGCCAGGAATCTAAAATCAAGCGGAGTCATGTACCTTGGAAAGCTCTGAAGAATCCTTGCTTGTCTCCTCCTAAGGCCTGGCAAATCTTAATCTTTTTTGGTGTGTAGCTGCACCATTCCATTGCTGCCTCTGTCGTATTGTACCAGTGTGTCTGTGTTCATATTTTTCTTTTATAAGGACAACAGTCGTTTATATTTCACCTGATTAAGTTATGAACAGTGACTGCTGCTTGAGTCAAATAAGGTTGTTTTTTTTTTTTTAAGTTTGAATATTGCAGAGGGGTGGGGGGTCATAGACCGCCCCCCCCCCATTAGCCTCCTTAAAATGGGAAGGGTCCAAATATGACTGATCCAGTGGGGGGTGGGTGAGATAAATGTTTAAGTTCTCCCACCTGTGTTTGGGGGGCATGGCAAGCTCCACTCCTTGCCATCAGTCTGTATCAGCTCATGTTCCAGAGATGAGTTGAGGGGAAGAGTGTTCTGAGATTATTGAATGGTCTTGATTGTTCTGAGATGTGGTCAGTTGTCTTGTGCCAGTGGTGAGAAATTGTAACATGAGTTGTCCATGTCTATATGAGTGTGTCCACAGACCTAGGTGCCGTAATGGTCAGCCTGTTCTTTGCGTCTGTTGAAGAGGTACTTGAAGTCCTCTGTTGGCTTAGATGATCTGGTTACCTTGTCTGTTGTATGCCTCTGGGTATGCTTTCTGTTGCATGGGCATCAGCAACTGAGCTGGCCTGGTCCTGTAACATATGCTCCAGGATTGTACCACATGCCTCACATTTCCCTGAGAACAGAGATGGAACATTGTGGTCCAGTTTGGAGTTCCCTAAAAATACCTCACATACAGCAGGTGCAACTGACTGGCCAGTCCCATCCCCTGGCTCCAACATAAGTGGACCAGTGGGCATTGCTGCCCACCCCCAGGTGTGGCTCTTGGACACACCTCCGAGTATTGCAGCCTGTTTGGGGTGATCTGAGCATCCCACATCAGGCCACACCCTCAGCCCTGGTTTTCGCATGTTTTGGGCAGTGCTGTGGCGTAGATCTTACACAAGATAGTAGATACTCTGGCCCAGCCTGACAATCCCTGCCCTCAACTTTTGTGAACTGGTGCTGTGTACTAGTAACAGCAATACCAAATAAACTATCAGGCTCACCTCCAATCCTGCTTCTCACATACTGACATGACCTACTCCTAGTCCCAGGTCTTGTTTGTAAGAGCTACAATCTGGCCCGCCCTTCTCCAACCCCTATTATGTGTGTGCCAGTAGAGATCCATCCCCAAACACAGTTCTTGTGAGCTCCAGGAAGTGCTGCAATCTAATCCTTCCTGACTTCTGTGCCCATCAGCATGTTCATTGATCTGACTTAAGGAGATGCTTTGTCCCATCAGTCCACCCCATCACATCTCCCCCAGTTACCTGCTGGTTCAGTAGTCTTGTTCATAGAAGCACTCAGAAATCACCCTATACATGTTGAAGAAGCCCTCAGAGGCGCTCATTCCAATTTGTTGGCCCTGGACCCTCTCCCTATGCTATGTGTGGTTCTGTCTGATGGATTTTGGAAAATATAAATTTTGAACAGATACTGTTCAATTAATTGTAACAAGGAAGCCATGGAATTAATATGCATTTGCTTTTATGTAATAAAGTGTTTGAGCAACAAGCAAAGGGCTAAGCATTTTATTGTTGTGCACAATTTAAAGAAGGTTAAGGAAATGAAGTAGTTTGTGATTATACATTCAAAGTGAATGCCTACCTGAGATTTGAATATATGGAGCCCAAGCTGCCGTTCAGGTTAGCACTCTGTTTAAATGATGGGTTATTGAAGTTATTGGAATGTTATTTACTATGTTTTAGTAATGGTATTTAGTAGTGTGTATTTCTCATCTTGGATTTGCCAGAAATGTTTAGATTATACAGATCTTATGAATCGAATCTGGGTTTGGTGATAAGTTCTGCTCAGGTTCAGATTGGTTCTCCTCAAGTAGCAGAACAGAGGGATCTTAGGCTTTTGTTTTTTCTTTTAAAAAGTTTGCTTTGTTCTTAATTAGAGGGATAGAGTACTCCTATCCTCTTGAATTCACTGCTCAAATGCCTGCAATGTTCAGGGGTAGGCCAAGCTGAACCTGGGAGCTCAGAACTCAAGCCAGGTCTCCTTCCTGGGTGACAGGAGCCTGGTAACTTGATCCATTAGCTGCTGATTCTTAGGGTCACATTGGTGGGAAACTGGAATCAGGAGCCAGAGCCTGAGCCGAGAATCAAACCCAAGCACTTGAGTGTGGGAGACAGCCACCCTAACCTCCAGGCTGCTCCCAGGTTCTCTTTTTCATTTTAAAGATTTACTGCATCATCATGAGTCAACTTTTCAAAAATGGTACTTGAGGGCCCAGCACGGTAGCCCTGTGGCTAAATCCTTGCAGGTGCCGGGATCACATTTGCGCACCAGTTCATGCACCAGGGACCCCACTTCCATCCACCCCCCTGCTTGTGGCTTCGGAAAGCAGTGGAGGATGGTCCAGACCCTTGGTAACACTGCTCCCACATTGGAGATTTGGAAGAAGCTCCTGGCTTGGGGTTGGCTCAGCTCTGGCTATTGAAACCAC